CCGGGAGAGCTCGGGCGATCCGACTGGTACATTAATATTACAAAATAACAGTCAGTGGCGCGGTCGGTAATTGCACTTCTTATGATAGCTCCGCATCACTACAATGGTAGTAAGACTTCTAGTGATAATAAGTGTTAATTTACAATACATTTGATAGTGTTTAATTCATTATGATAACAATACTTATGTCGTCAAAACTGACGTTTAGATCTTCTACGTTGTCCAGATCCATCTATGCAGCTAAAAGAAGTCATCATTCATATTGAACAATGTAGAAATGAGCGCAAAAGTAACCAGAATGAGCGTGTAAAGGGGCATGCGGCACAAAGACTCCCGTTTCGCGCGTTTGTGTATTGCACGCAATTCACGCGCGCGGAGACGCAGGAAGTAAAAACGGGAGTCGCCGCAAAAACGCCGCGGCGTTCAATGTGTTAAAGGCAGTTGGCACGATGATTTGGTGCTCGGCCTAAAATGCTAGTAGGGCGCTATATAGTGGGGAAATGGCGAAAGAACGGAGTGAAACGGTCAAAATCCTGCGAAGAAAGAGCCTCCGTTCTCAATGTGTTAGAAATCAATTTTGGACGAGTTTCCTGTAGGCATCTTGCCAATAACCGCTACCGAAGGTACGGCTGCATATGTGTACTCATATATCCATGCAGCATCACGGCCGCTTCATACCAATCCCTTCGCTTCATAATTTGCTTAGCAAATGAATCGATTACAGGAACGGTCGTCCATTTGTGGGCGGCGGCGTGGCCTTACGCCTTTATAAGGCATCATCCTGGAGATAGAATTATGTCGCGCGTCGGCCTCGGAATGTCCTGCCATCGTATTGATCCCACTCGTCTTGGGATTTATCCTGCCTGACTGCTTATGAAAGGGCTTTCATGAGCTTAACAGAGCAGGTGCCGGAGAGAAGTTTTTATTTCGACTTTTTGATTTGCTATTTACTTAAATGAGCCTCTGGAAAAATACATTTATGAATAAACCTGAGACTTACTATAGCGAAAACTAACAACAATACGCTTAAAGTGTATATGAACAAAACGTTAGCAGAGTTGTACAAACCGTGCTAAAGGTACCTTATAATAAAGCCTTAACACCCGAATAACTATTATTGACCTAAATTATGCAATTTACTAGTGAACATGGTAATGAATCCAAATTATATTCATTTTGCACCTATTCTCTCTAAATACGTTATTACACGGGCTAGACAGAGTATCGGATGACTATACAATGAAATCTGGTAATGAGAGAAGAATGTAGACTATTGTGACTGACGGCAGATCGGAACAATTTAAAACTCATTGAAAGGTAGCCGGAAAGTTTGAGAAGGGAACAAAATTAGGTACATTGAAATGGATCAGATCAGTAGGTCTAGATTCTAAATAGCAGAAAGAATCTTCATAGGTCTTCCACCTATCCACTCTCATTACCATGTCTCGACTCTCTGATGGCTGAACTTGCTGCTACTCTTCGGAAAGAACGCGTAGTCAGACGCTGTCGCACTAGTCCTGCATCGCAAATGGTCTACTGAACCTTTCGAGCAATACGGTCCCTGGAGGGGGGAAAACCTGAGTGGTTCTGAATAAGTACTCTCCTGCCCTACGCACACTTCAAACCCTAGGAACCAATGCCAAAGTACAACCTGCTTCTTGCGTAAACAAAAGGCAATCTTGCACTTCTTTGATAGAAGCCAAAAGACATTGTTGCGTCTACTAATGGTGTCTCCGCGCACGCTGCACAGCTCACTGACTCTAAAAAGAATGATGTGAGAATCATTGAAGCCGACTTAGTAGCCGTGTCCGACCCCAACTGAGAGCCCAGTCGATGATTAAAGGCACTTTCCGCGATAAACTAAGGCCATAGGCCTAAAAAAATGTGCCAGATGATCCTCAGTATTTAGTGCTGTGGCACACCTAAAAAGTCAAAAAAGCAGGTTTCCCCGTAGAAGCTGGGCAAATAGGCCCATTGGCACCCCTTAGGCCCATGGCAACCCGCGAAGGCCATGCCCAGTGTGACGACGACGCACCGAGAGTGAACGCTGAACTCCTTGCTTGCGTTGCTACGGATCTCGTTGGGATTATTGCCCAACAGTCGATAGTATTCCCTGCCATCCTCATTTTTTTATTGCTTTTTCGCTATTACTATCTCGGTCGACAATGAACGTTAGAATCCTCTGTCTTCTTTTTTCCATCCTAATTCTCAACAGTTGCGTGTGCGCTGAAAGATTTGCTTTCCATTGATTTGTGAAATTCATCAATGTTCGTTTATTCCTAGTTTTTTTTGTGTTACCAGTGTGGCTGCTTCCATCCAGTTCAGGTTTAGGTTGCATATTATAGTCACTAGGCGGTTTTGAAGACCTCCATGCTGTTCCGCCTGAGCGCAGAAGAAAAAGGCGTGAGTCAATCTGAAACTTTCTTCTTGGCCTTTTGTTTTTTTTTCATCTCATTTCATCTTACTGGAGGTTGATTGACCCGTGAACATTTTGTGCAACACCTCCGTCCACCTCCCAGAAGCCCTTAGGTCGCGTTCATACATGATGATGACGAGTTGATGACGAGATCAATATCACTTTCTTGTGCTGTATTTCGCAATTTTTGCAAATGCCACTCAACGTGAATATACGTTTCCGAGGTTTTGCGTCGATAATCGAACAAAAAAGTGTAGAATAAGGGTTCGAAAAAAGAAAGGCGGTAAGCTGAGGAGGTACAGTGCAAACGAAACGAGAAGTGCAGGAAACAAATCACAACAACTACGAAAATTTAAAGCTGATAATCGAAAAAGAAATTGTAAGGTCGTGGACGGAAAAGGTCTGCCTTTGTCTTGCGATTGCCGAGTGCCTCTTCGGTGTGCGCTAAAAGCGGACCAGATGAGGAACTTTATCTGCACACCTTCACAATACAACAAAAGCACGTAGTGTACTCCGACAAGCGACAGATACAGCTGATCAGAGAATTCGTACTCCCCTGTGAAGACGTGCAGTGGTGGAAGACCAGTGGCAAGATGGAGCCGATGATGAGAATAGGAAGTAGAGCTGTCCCACTCTGGCCAGCAGTCTCTTAAGTACTAGGCGGCACCTGCTCTGCCTTCCCAGACGGACGGGATCTACCATCTTTCTGAATACTCCCGATTTCTCACCACTTTTCCCAAGTATTTTTTCTCTGGAAAGTCCCTGCTTTTCCCAGAAAAACCGTTGGTAAGCGAGGGAGGAGGGGCAAACATAGGTAAAACAGGGAACAACGAGAAAAGTTGATAATTGATGACATTTGTCTCAGTCTTTATTCGACGCGATCGATGCAGTCGAAAGCATGCGCATCATCGTCGAATCGCGCGACTGAAGCGCTGCCGTCGCGAAGTCTGAACGCTGCCTGAGTCCGCAATAATTGGCTGATTCTGGCTGCATTTGCCTTCACCTATCCTGCACTCTCCTCTGATTCTTCGAACGAGAAAGCGAGCAGCCTCTGATGGTCGTCGCCCTTCTAATGCTGACCATGAGCATGAGAAGGAGAGGGGTTTTTCGTCGCGTCACTGCATAGTCAACTGCACTCATCACGCATTGACTGCAGAAGCACCAAGCTCCAGGCAAATCCTTATAGTTGATTTACGCGTCAAAGTTTTTGTCAAATGTAAAATTTTTCATCGATAACAGGGTAAATGCCTCTAATTTCCAGCATTCCATTTACAAAGTTCATTCTATTCAGTGTTCAAAAACCATTTATTCATATAACGAGCTAACGAAAACAATTTAAAGTACATTTGGATAATGTTAGTCAAACCTATGACATCTAATAATTGACATGATGAGGTAAAATATGCGACAAGTATTTTTGCCAGCAGTACTGATCGCTGAGATTGACCAGGAACATGTTGAGCACGTCCTTGGTTCTAGAGACATGAGTGAGTAGGTAGCTAAAAGTAATGAGATTTTGATGACGTTATGGAAATATCATATTTCCATCCTCATTAAGAACCCCAAAGTTAAGAAGGAAGCATCGACCAACCCCTTGCGAGCATCGACCAACCCTCTGTATTCATCCTCCACACAGATTCGTAGGGATTTGAATGCCCACTTAGGTTACGATTATTGGAAATCGACAATTGATATTGTGGCCAATCCGGCGGTATGGTGTCAGGAGGTGACGAATAAGCCCATCTGCGGTCTTTTTTCGCTACTGGTTGCTTTCTATTATTTGAACCATCTACTATTGATAGAAAATGCAGTCACCGGCAGGCCATAAAATGCCTTCTGACGCCGCCCGCTGCATTCCGTCGATATCAAGAGTCTTTGTAAAATTATACCTGGTATTTAGTGATATATGGTCGTTTTCGCTGCTGGCGCTGGGGTTTGTCAGGAGGGCAACTTTGGCACGGCAGTCGAATTTCAACGGCACCCGGGCGATTCTATCGTCGGCAAGTCAGGCGACGCCGCACACGCCGCGCCGCGTCGCTGCGCGGCACGCCGCGACGCGGCAATCCCGGAGTTGCATTACCGTACTCCCGAGTTGTCATTGGAGCAAAGGATTAGACTCTTTCAAATTGTTAAAGGGATCGTCGACCCTTTAACAATTTGAACGCCACGCAACAAAACTCGTACGCGGCGGCCGCCACGCCGCCTCGCTCCGCCCACCGGCGCGACGACCCGACGATAGAATCACCACACACCCCAGAAAGCGCTGGTACGTGCCGCTGTCACTTCCACAACTCGTAGATCAGATCTCATACAGGCCAACCAAAGCTTCTATTCTGCCTGGGTCGTTCGAATGATTTGGAATGATAGAAACCTATGGCTAGCATCCTCATGGCTCCCCAATGTGAGATGAGATTTAAATACACTAAGATGTATTCAAATGCTTGCACGATACTGAGCTGAAATTTGCAGCATTGGGCATTCAGAGTTGATCAGAGTTTGATCTGCACACTTTTGTTTAGTTTTTACTGCTTACCTTCTCTCATAGAGTATTGCGTTCCATGCTTTTCTGAAATCATTAATCTCTTGAGCGGTTTTCGGCTTTGGATATGCTATGTTGAGCTGAAATGGACTCACTATAACGCTGCTAATGGTAAGTACAATAGAGGGTTTCTGCACAGTTCGTCATCCCTGAAAGCAAAGTGTAGTCATGGTTCTTGCAAAGAACGATTGTGCGTGTGAAGGGACTGAAGTGGATTGTAGCCAGATTAGCCTTTCCCGGTAGTCGTTGCGGGCTCATGGCATCATTGGTTCGAAGGCTGCCACGGCAGCGTTCAAATCCACGTCCCGTCACACGCCTTATCTTTCGCAAGAATCATGATTGTAAATCGTACCTGACAAACCCTCATACTGGATTCTGGAAAAATCCCGTCATTGAAGAAAATAGGTAAAAATTCATTTGCGTTCTTCGTGTTAATTGTGATCGACGTTGCTCGAAACCGTCGCACGAAAAAACTCATCAACGTCACCAAAGACATGTTTTGGTAATCTGTTGGGGCTAAAATACTGAGCTCATTCGAGATCTGTAGAATGAACAAAAGCGCGGTAGCAGTAGCTACTAATGCAGGTCTCCGCTGGGCAGCCGTGGTCAGAATATGGCTCATGATCTGGGGGGGGGTTTTCCAAAAGCTGGTTCTGTCTACAGAGACAACGTTCCTGCTAGTTCACTCACGGTGGTGGCTACAGTCCTGCAGTGGGAGTTCGCACACGAAAGAGAAATCGTGTCCTCACTGAGGCAAACCACAGGGACGGGAGAAGACAAGCCTTGGAACTACACCATGTATCGGGGCTTGGAAGGGCTGTGGGGAAGAAATGAAGCCTATGATTGAGTTACCTTTTAGAAGTACCTACCACTGGTTCTGGCACACAGGCTCTTTTAGCAAAATCCTGCCATATTCCGTGGATCTGGAACCTTTTACTCCTGGCCGGTAACTGACGTCAGTTGCACTGCAGATGTATTAGCATAATCGAGGGTTTCTCCACACTTGGAGTACAGGCAGAACCAGTTCTGCCATTGTACCTTCCCATCGTGCGCTCCTTCTTTAAAGGGTGAAGAGCAAAAACTGACAACCTACCGATGTCTTCAAACAAGTCCACTTTGAGGCGTCCATGGGGATTGACTCGAAATGGATATGTACGAATACCAAGAGTGGGATTCATTCGTACACTATGATGGGCATCACTACTCGAATGTACCCTGCACTTCTCGTACCGGCTCTGAAATCGTTTATGTCCACATTTGAATTCGAATTCGAAGAAAGAAGTCGCGCTGTAGGTGAGAATGCGCGCTCTAAGAAGAGCTTCCGGTCCAGCCACTGACCAGGGAATAGTTTCAACTTCGGCGCAGGTC